GCCACCATTAATTCTCTGTTCTGGCTCGGGGCCAACTACCATCGCCCCGTGGACCTCCCAGACACCACGGGACTAAGCTGGAGGGAAGGAATCCTCCGGTGTCTGGAGAGCATCCGGCCCCGAGCCAGAACCAGCCCGCCATCCGCGGCTCACGCAAGCCCGCCGCCGTCCTCGGTCTACTCTAGTTCACCGGCCGTTAATATGGCAACCCCAACAAACATTAATATGGCAAGCCCGCCATGAGTTCATGAGGCCCCAGTGTCGGTTCCAGCCCCAGTGCCAGCTCCTCTAAAGTTCTTCGCTGTGCCTGGTCCTCCAGAGCACCCTCCAGTGCCAGCACCACGTAAGCGCTACCCTGATCCCCAGTTCAGCCCAGGAAGGGCTCCTGATCCCCAGTTCAGCCCAGGAAGGGCTCCTGTTCCCGAGTATAGCCCAGGGAGGGCTCCTGTTTCCCCGTTAAGCCCAGGGAGGGCTCCTGTTTCCCCGTTTCTCCTGAGTCCCCTGCTCCGCCATGGCTCCCTGATCCACCCTGGAGGCTCTCATTGTCTCCGCCCTGTTCCAGTCCTGCACCAGCCTCCAGGGCGCCTGCCCCCCCTCCCTGATGGTACTGTTACGACGCGGGACGCGCCGTCCAGGAGGGGGGCGATCTGTCTTGTGTATGTTCCCGTTTAGTTCCTGTTTTCCTTATTTGGTCCTTCCTGTTCATGTCCTCGTTGTATGAATTTGGTTCCAGCTGTGTTTGTTTAATTAGTTAATTTGTTCACAGGTGTGTCCCATTGGTGTCGGTGTATTTATAGTGAGTCCCGTTCTGAGTTTCTTTGTCCGGAATTTTTTATGTCCCCTCCTTGTGCTACGTGTGATTCCCTGAAGAAGAATATTAAACGCCTTTGTTTTGTACTCCTGGTCTCCTCGTTCCTCGCTCCGTGCTCCTCACAGTAGCAACCCGTGACAGTGTGATGGTGAATTTCAGATTACTCTCACTGTCTCACATGTATCATTGTGTTTCAGGTAATGATTGTTTTATTGACAAGGCCCTTGTGTTTACGGAGTGAAGCTGTTGGCTTTATTTGTCGCACTGAAGTCTCAAGGACATGGATGGATTTTAGTCCAAGTCATTAATATGTATTGGAAATTATTTTCTTCTTTGTAGAGAATTCTAACAGCTTTGAAGGCCACTGAAGTGTTGAGGAAGGTTAGAGCGCTTCGTCATGTTCATTCTCTGGCACAAAGGTGCTCAGTATTAGACTTTCTGCCGTGATTCACAGGTCCTGGATCATCTCGTTCTGTCTGTAGGCTTTTTTTTTTTTCTGTCTGCTTTTTGGCTGGGGGGTGGTAGAGACCCTTATTGCACTGCCCTGACAAGAAGTAGAGAAGAAAAAATCATATCCAATTTGAACAACAAACAGTTTGTGCCCGAGAGATATTTTGGAGGAGTTCTTTTTGGAAGAATATAAACCTTGT